GGGCATTCTCATTAGATATGCTTTTTTCGTTTTGGAAGCTGTCACAAAGATGTACTTATAATATGTCACGAGATAGGAAGCCATTGGAAGCAATGCTTATATACCCTCATAGTTGACTTTGCAAACAATAGTTGGGACCTCTTTATACCTGCTTAAAGTCTCTTTGTATTTGTGAGTTTGAGGGTTATATTTTTATATCCCATGCCTCCATAGGTTGAGGCCCTTTGTTGTGGATAGAGAGCTGAACTCGAACAGCGGGTTTTTTTCCTAAAAACCTGTATTAAATACGTGGCCAACAAGATTCAAACCTGAGTTGCTTTGATACCATCTTAAAGTCCCTGCCACTACGGGAAAACTTGGAAGTTGTTGTGAGGGTTTAGGGTTATATTTTTATATTCGAACATAACTTATACTCTTAGAAATTAAACTACTTTCCACTTAAGGTAGGCATGTTTATATAGTTAACAGATTTAATTTTACTTGTGCCTTCGCAAAGCAAAGTGAAAATGTATGCGGAATACATTGACCTGATGGATTTTTTGGAGTACATCTGCCATACTGCATGTAAACTAATGTCAAAATAAACATCATTTTGGTCTATGCCCTTTGAAAATTTCTGAATTTTTTCATTTGAACCACAAAAATTTCTGTCAGATTCAGAAATTTTTTTATCAGGCACCATTGCTGAGCTCTTTATGACCTCATAAAAGTCAGGAGTTAGGAAGCCATTGGAAGCAATGCCTATATAAACTCATGGTTGGTTTTGCAAACAATAGTCGAGACCTCTTTATAACTTCTTAAAGACCCTGTCATCAAAACTCCGAAGTTCCCGAATTTGTAATGAGTTTGAGGGCTATATTTTATATCCCAACATGCCTCCGCTGGTTGAGGCCCTTTGTTGTGGGCAGAAACCTGAGCTCATGCAACAGTCCTTTTTTTCTAAAAAATCTGTATTAAATACGTGGCCAATAAGATTCAAACCTAGGTTACTCTGATACCATCTTAAAGTCCGTGCCACTGCAGCAAAACTCTAAAGTTGTGGTGAGGGTTTAGGGTTAATATTTTTATTTTCTAACATAGCTTATACTCTTAGATTTTTAACTGCTTTTCGTTAATGTTGGCACATGTTTATATAGTTACCAGATTTAATATTAGTTATGAATTTGCAAAACAAAGAGAACATGTATGTGGAAAATATTGAACTGGTGGATTATTTGGAGTACATCCGCAATAGTGCATCTGAACTAATGTCAAAATAGACAACATTTAGATCCATACCCTTCAAAAATTTCTGAACTTCCTCATTTGAACCGCAAAAATTTGGGTGAGATTCAGATTTTTTTTATCAGGCACCATTGCAGAGCTCATTTGAAATGTGTGTTTTCCATTACCTTTTTTTTTCGGAAAACAACCAAACAGGCTCTTAGTATACTTACAAGTGCAAAGCCAGGCCGATAAGTATCTTAAAGGTACAACTGAAAACGAATACACAGACGTGATGGCCAGAATACATGTAAAGCATTCGTTCGAATGGAAAAACTACATTGAAGAGCGAAACAACCTGTTAAGGCTCACAGATTTGGTTCTAAAAGCCAATTGCTTCACTTCTGTTGAGTTTATTTAAAATTACTTATGAGATGAGTTTATTTGAAATTAGTTATCAGATGCTTTCCTGTTTGGCCTTTGTGTGCTGTTTACTTCGGTGTTCCAGTGTGAATTTGAAACTTATAATGACTAATATTCCAAGATGCTCATGCGACTCTTAGTAAATGCAATCTCTTAGTATGTTTTTGTGTGCTTGTTCACAAATTTTATATTCTTCTATGATGATTTAATATTTAAAGTCCTATCTGATAATTGCTTGTGTGGGTCTTGGTAATGAATATTCTAATTTTAGCTTGCTCTGATACCCCTTTCTGTTATTTGCACAAAAACCTTCAAAGACGATGATACAACATATAGTTCAAGTACATTCCTGAAGTGTGAATCCATGTTCAACCGCACATATCCCAGGATACTAGATGGACTTCGTACTAAGCTTGCTGCATAGGAAATAACGGAAGATTAATGTTTTCAACAGTTAAGTGGATTCCTCTTTGGTACGCGGGAATGAGTGAGAATGGAATATCAATTCTCATTTTTTTTCCTTCCTACCAAACACAACTTTTTTTTTTAAAGTTAAAATGTTCATTCTCACTTCTCATCAATCCTCACTTTATGTGAGAATGAGCATTCCCAATGAAATGATAGGGAATGAGCATTCCCACTTAAGTGGGAACTAATAAAATATAAAATTTTGAAATACGTCCATTCCCACTTCATTTTATAAATTGCACCTAAATGTGAGAATGGAAATGAGTATTCCATTATCACATTAATTCAATTCTATTACTTTGTCTATTCCATTCTCGTTTCCGTCGATTCTCACTTACCAAATGAGGCGTAAGTTTTTAGTGGAATAGCCGTATTCATGTTTAAAACGGAATAGAGACTAGTTTAAAAAAGAAAAACACATACTGCATAGTCATTTTATGATTTACGATTGGGAAAAATGTTTCCAGTCCCCAAAACCCAAGAAAACGTGCTCCCCCCCCTCTCAAGACTTTGTCAACGAGTGTTTTGCCCCCAAAAATAAAGATTTTGTTCTCTGAGCCCCCAAAACATAAAACCCAAGAGATTAAAATATGTGAAGACCATAATATCTTTTTTTCTCTTTTTTTTTTATCATGATGTACTAAGATGATAGTTGAAATGATTGATGGAGATTATTTTATTATTTTCGTTTTTTATTATTTTCGTTGTTGATGAGGGGAACTAACTGTGAATGTTGTGAAGGTTATGAGTTTAATTGTTAAGATTACGGGTTGGTTGTTAAGGTTACGGTTTTAATTATTAAGGTTACGAATTTGTTGTTAAGGTTACGGGTCGGTTGTTAAGGTTACACGTTGGGATATATATGTATATATATTTTGAGTGGAATGAATACTTTGGGTCACTTGGCCTAGTAGTAAAGTTTGAGAGTTCAGACAAGAGGTTAGGAGTTCAAACCCCTACAGCTATAATATTTTTAGAATATACCTTGTTAAGGATAATGGTTGATTGTGAATGTTACGGGTTGGTTGTTAGGGTTACGAGTTTGTTGTTAAGAATATGCGTTGGTTGTGAATGTTACGCTTTGGTTGTGAAGTTAACCTACACAACAAACCCGTAACATTAACAACAAACCCGTAACCTTAACAACCAACCCATATCCTTAACAACGAATATTCTAAAAACCCGTAACGGGTTGGTTATGAAGGTTACGGGTTGGTTGTTAAGGTTACGAGTTTGTTGTGTAGGTTAACTTCACAACCAAAATGTAACATTCACAACCAACGCATATCCTTAACAATAAACCCGTAACCTTAACAATAAACCCGTAACCTTAACAACAAACTCGTAACCCTAACAACCAACCCGTAACCTTCACAATCAACCATTATCATTAACAACGAATATTCTAAAAATATTGTGGCTGTAGGGGTTTAAACCCCTAACCTCTTGTCCGAACTTCCAAACTTTACCACTAGGCCAAGTGACCCAAAGTATTTATTCCACTCAAAATATATATACATATATATCCCAACGTGTAACCTTAACAACCGACCCGTAACCTTAACAACCGACCCGTAACCTTAACAACCAACCCGTAATCTTAACAATTAAACTCGTAACCTTAACAATTAAACTCGTAACCTTCACAACCAACCCGTAACCTTAACAACCGACCCGTAACCTTAACAACCCACCTGTAACCTTAACAACCGACCTGTAACCTTAACAACAAATTCGTAACCTTAACAATTAAACCCGTAACCTTAACAATTAAACCCGTAACCTTAACAATTTCTCAATATAAACAAAAACAATTAGTTTCCTCATCAACAACAAAAATAATAAAAAATAAAAATAATAAAATAACAATCCCCTTCAATCATGAGAGAGAGAGAGAGAGAGAGAGAGAGAGAGAGAGAGAGAGAATCCATAACCTTAACAATTGACCTGTAATCTTAACAATTAACTCGTAACATTAACAATTAACCCGTAACTTTAACAATCTCCCAATACAAATAGTTAGTTACCCTCATCAACAACGAAAATAATAAAAAATAAAAATAATAAAATAATCTCCATCAATCATTTCAACTATCATCTCAGTACATTATGACAACTATCATCTCAGTACATTATGATAAAAAGAAAGAGAGAGATAGAATGATATTATGGTCTTCACATACTTTAATCTCTTGGGTTTTGTGTTTTGGGGGCTCAAAGAACAAAATCTTTATTTTTGGGGCAAATCAATGGGTTTTGGGGGCTGGAAGCATTTTCCCCTTTACAATTCCTAGCGGATGATGTATACTTGATTACATGATATCATATTTGATTGTGTAAAATGGACCATAGTTCGCCCTGAAAATCTTGAGATTTTTGCATACATATTGTAAACACTCATGAAAATAACCTTTTATTTCCTAGAATGCCCCTCTATGCATCTAATTTTTGGGGTTTCTCTCTTTAAACCCAAAGTTTTACTCCCACTTATTTAAAAACCCACTCACTTTTATAAGCATCCGTACACCCAAAAGTAATCCTATCACTTATTTTTAAACCCATTCTCCCAAATACTGCCTTCCTGTACACTATATTTGAGAAAAATAAAAATAATTCCAAGATTACCCTTTTCTAAATTATAATCCCTCTTTCACACAGGAAGCCATTATTGATCGCATTCTTTAAAAATCCCTAACCAAATTTCATTAATCACCTCCAAATCCCTCGACGACCGTCTCTAAGTTCGCTGATGACAAGTGAACCTCATTCGTGGGATTTGAGATTATCGCATCCAGTGACCCTCACATGCTCTAGAGGCTCTATACACATATTGCTATAGTTGATCACCTATTGTCTCATTTGCCGACTGCCGGTGAGTTCCATCAGAGCCTAGCAAACTTCAAACGTGCCTCCAAAAACTCTCAAAGACCCAGATCCCCTTCGTCCCTCAATCCCCGTCATCGAAAACATGTTCATGAAACCACGACTGCTAATTTCTCAGCCATGAGTTCTCAAACATTGATGGAAAAGAATTTTGAAGTAATTTTTTTGTAATTTTCTATTTCTTTTTTGTAACTTTTTCTTTGTCCATGAAAGGAAATTTGAGAATTTTTGTAAATGTTGTATCCTTTCAGGTTGTTCACGAGATGAACTTGGGAACCTTTTGGTTCAATGCTTGGTGCTCTAGATAGATGTTGATAATTGTGGTGATTTTGTTGGAGTTCTATTATTACTTTCTTGATGTAATATTTGCTACATGCGATGCGAAACAATTGTTGTTGCTAATTTTTATAAAAGTTTGGTTGATTTTGGGAACATCGTATACAACATCACACGTTTACATTGCTCAGAAAAAAAACTGATTTGATATTTACCACTAACTTTTATAATTTTTAGAGACCATAAAAAGCTATACTTTATCAATAAAGAGCTATACTACAGTCATGGAGAGCTATATTTTGGCATAAATAGCTATACTTTCATGATAAGGTGTCACACTTTACTGTAAAGAGTTATATTTTTTTAAAAACTAGAAAATTAAGAGTGGATCTCTCGTCGACATGAATAATTGATCAAACAACACATTGTATACATCATCACACGTTTACATTGCTTAGAAAAAAAATAATTTGATATATTCCACAATATTTTAGAATTTTCAGAGACCATAAAGAGCTATGCTTAATCAATAAAGAACTATACTATGGTCATAGAGAGCTATACTTTGGTATAAAGAGCTATACTTTCATGATAAGGTGTCACACTTTACTGTAAAAAGGTATACTTTTTTAAAAACTGGAAAATTAATAGTGGATCTCTCGTCGACATGAATAATTGATCAAACAACACATTGTATACAACGTCACACGTTTACATTGCTAAAAAAATAATTTTGGGATTTTTGTCTTTTAACCCACAGTTTTACCTCAACTAATTAAAAACCCATCAACTTTCATGAACGCTTATAAACCCAATATACCCCAAACCACTTATTTATAAACCAAATCCGTACAATACCCTCAATCCTTATATTGTATTGTGGGGGCCACAACGTGGGAAGAAGTTTTTGTTCAGCAGTTTTTCGTTCATGCCTATAAATACACATTGGTTCTCCTAGGCTTTGGCGAAGGCAGCGGGTGAAAGAAAAAAGGAAGAGGGCGCAAAGGCTTCGTGCAAAGCGGAAAAGGCAGCGTTCTTTGGGCGGCGTGCAAAGAAAAAAGGGAGCAGCGAAAGCAGCGAACTGCCGACTTTGTGTGTGGATTTCTGTGCAGTCCTTTTGTGTTCTTAAGAGAGATATTTGTGTGAGGGGTTTGAGAGATTGTGTGAGGGTTTAGATTGAGTGATTGTAAACCCTAGTTGTATTCTCTCCTCTCTAATAGTAGATCTCCCCCGCCTTGCCCCGTGGACGTAGGCAGTTTGCCGAACCACGTAAAATTGATTTGTTTGAGTTTGTGGCCATTGTAATAGTTTTAGGATCCCTCGACAGGTCAGTCCTAGAACTGATGAGAGGAAGAGCCGATATCTCACTTGGTTGAGATATCCGCTTCAGATTCTTGTTTCCTTGGTGAGACGGGAATTCTTTTTGATCTTTCTATCTTATTGTGCACCAGAAACTCTGCCGAAATTTCCGCTGCGCACAACATGTATTTCCCCAATAAATACAAAATTTCAAAATTAACCTTCTTCCCCAAATAAGCCTCTCTCTCTCTCTCTCTCTCTCTCTCTCTCTCTCTCTCTCTCTCTCTCTCTCTCTCTCTCTCTTTCCTTCTTTCGTTTCACAAAATCAAAATCTAACGGCGAGCGACAGAGTGGAGAGGAAACGTGAAAGTATAGCTCTTATTATGGTCTATACAAGTTCTAAAACTTAGTGATAAATCAAATTTGTTTTTAGAAAAATATAGCTTTTTATAGTAAAGTGTAGCAACTTATTGTGAAAGTATAGCTCTTTATGGCAAAGTATAA